GTAAGTAGCCTAGCAATTGGTTGCTGCAATAGCTTGCTTTTTAATGCCTGCAGGGTCCTTGAAGACTAGATTAAGCAATGCCAGTGTCCAAAATCCTTTCTCAGTGCAGCCCAATGGATACACTCACTTTCACTTGCAGCTGGTCCAACAATTGTGCTTCAGCGATCACCACAAAGGTGCTTATAGCGACCACAGCGACCGAGGATGGAGTGAAGTGTCCTTGGAACAATCGCTGGAGCGCCGGCATCCATATCCTCAATGAGTCTCGTCAGCAGAGCAGAAATTGCTTAGCTGTGTGGTTGACGCATCAACCAAACCAAAACCAAGTCAGATAGAAATATGATTTTGGAGTGGTACTGCTGCAATTAGTAGGCAACACAAACCAGTCACAAAACCCACTCCTTGTGTATTGTATTGCATGCAAGGGGTAAGCTGGGCGGTTGTAGATTCACTGAGATTTGAAGGATGTCAACGAAGGAAGGGCCAATAGAGTCATCCCAAAAAATAAGGGCCTTGTCGGCAAGCCATGAACTACATTCTGCTAATCTTTCTGCAGACCAAAAATGTCCGAAACTCCAATTCAAAAATAAGACGGAGGCGTTGATATATGTGGTCTAATCTTCTTACCTCTAATGCCCAGCACATATCTTTTTTGAGCCGCACCGTCGCGAAGACATCTCCCAATTGAAAACCACGCGAAGACATCGACCGAAGGAGTGCATGCACCCACTGCACCGGAGCTCCTTCGCCACAAAGAGCCTCTTTGAAACGGCGCCGTCGCAGCAGTGGCGACGGCACCTCGATGTCCAGGATGAGTGCCTTGGGTGAAACGGTGGAGACATGAACGTCCAGTCAGATGAGTCCAAGGCGAGTCTTAAGCTAAGCTACGCTTAAGCTAGGTTGATTATAGCTAAGGATGAACGTGGGGAAGCTCTTTGCAGCACAAACCGCACTCCCGGAGAAAGAATGAAGAAACACAAGGCGTGTAGGTAGGGATAGGTGGGGTTTGGAAAATAGAATGGCCATAGTCCACCATCCGTTTTCACAATGTCAATTTGTGAACTCAATCATGGTCAGGCCATGCTGACTTGGGACCATCCACCATCCTTTGTTGCCGCCATTTGAGGGAGACTGAGATTGCCCTTGTTCCAATCCAAGAAGTCTTCAGTTCAGTCATCCCCTTGCAACACACGTTTGTTCGCTCGTTCTTGGCGACCATTCGTTCGGGTGGCGCAACCGGCGACCAGGTTTGGCGGCTGGCGGCCCACGGGCACGAGCAAGATGCCAATCTTTTCAGCCCTGGGTGTTTGATGAGCACAGTGCTACGAAGGAAGATGAGGTGAACGATGTGGCCGCCTGTGGCCTAGCTCGCTAACTTATGATGCATAGGCAATTAGGTGTTTGTTGCTGGTGGAGGCCCTTCTCTAGCAATCAAGTATGGGGTACATAGACCTGTGACTAATGATAGGTGGGATCATGGTTTTCCCTCAGCCTGATGTGATGATGCAAGCTTGTGGTAGATTGGAAGCACTTGTGACATCTCGGGCATACCAGGGCCTTGTGTAGCAGTGTAAAACTTGATCTCGTGAATCACTGGTCTTGGCGAATGCCAAGTCCGAGCAGTTTCGGCGTCTTCTTTGGACTGAGAGTGTGACAGTTGGCATGTCAGACCGTCATGGTTCAACATGTTGGGTCGAAGCGATATGAAACACAACCAACAGTCAATACCGTCGGAGAAACTCAATCTACAGGCGAAGTGACGCCCTCTCACGTTCCACGGACCTTCATACTCTTCAGGGAAGACTTTGTTCACTGCAGCTTCAACCAAGTTGAAGTTGCCACCGGATGCGCATCCGAACAAGAAAGAGCCGCATTTGGCCACCCCACACATACACATTTTTTCCACTGAGTCCTCGGAGCAACTGAGTGTTCAATATTCGCAGGATTCAATGAGTAAATGGATCAGTCTGACTCAGGGATGTCCACTCACTCGTTTACCCGCTGGGTTCAACAAACAACCTGGGACCCGATTGGGATAGTGCGTGGTGCCGGATTTCTTTCTTCAAGAGTATGATTGGAGTCATTCCCAGATCGATGTTCTTCCTGCAGGTCTACAGGCTGTGAGATCTTATTGTTCGGTCCTTGTCCACCCAGGATGGTGGTTCATCACCTGACCCAGGAGCAGGGGGAAAAAGAGTGAAAAAGGGTTCAGCCGAAGACTCCTTTCCCAGGTAGCGCCACTGCAAGTACTGGATTGGTCTCGATCCATGGCCTGTGCAATGAAGACCCGGTCATCCAACAAGTCACCCTCAGACGTCAGCCTCTCTCACCCCACAGAAGGCGCTCATCCTGCAGGTCTTGAGCAGTTTTGATTGGCGCATTTGGCTGGTGGTCTTCATCGTGGGATCAGCCGCGCAGTTTGCACGAAGTGGGTTTGACTCGCCACGCGGACTCGGTCGCCGGGAAGCGGCGAGTCAAGTGGCACTACGGAATCAGCGGCGAGTCAAGCGGCAGAGAGAACAACAGCAGCGAACATGAAGTCGATTTCAGTCTCAGATGTCGAGTCGTCGCTTTTCAGAGTGTCCTGGTGTCCTGGTCGGTTCTGGTAGGATTCGTTAGACAGCTTGAAATTTATCGACATGCTCAAAGAGAGGGGCACGGTGTCAAACCTGAGATTGGATGCGCATTCTTCAACTCGTTGCCATCATGACATCATTACTGGTAAGAAGGAATTTCATAGCCTGCTGCCTATCCAATCCAGATGGACCCGCAACATCCCGCAACCGTTTTGTTGATACTAGAGGCCCACGTGCGACTGAAGTAAGATCTATAGAGAATTATAAAGATCAGATATATTATCAAAACATGCAATGTAGTACTGCAAGGTGATTCAATTCCATTTAATTAGTCAGCACTGCTGTTCAATGTGTTCCTTGGTCTACTTCTTTGATACAGGTACGTACCTTTGCATACCATTTGCCTGTTGATCATTTTTCTCAGTCCATTTCTAAATACATCTAGCAATCTGAATCATGTCATCATGAGTAATGTAGACTCTTGATTAATAAACCCACCCCATTTGAATCGAGAAAAACTTCTTCATATGGGGTGGCTTATTAATCAAGAGACTACATTACTTGCTGGACACCTGGCTGGCCGGTGAGCCTCAGGTTGTCTTGCAGCACAAAGGTCCTCAATCACCAGTTGAGCAGGCCGCGAAGGCGCGCTAGATAGTCTGGTCCCGGTTTGGGGTCGTGATGGCATCCAGAGCTTGTTCAGAATATGTTGGCAACTGATGGGATTCAGTTGTGTCGGTTATTTTTGTGTAGCTTGAACTCCTATTTAATGTATGAAGCTGGTTTGTGGGATTTGTGGGGAGGTCAATGCCGAACCAGGCCATGTTTAAGGGAGTGAAACCATTTGCCGACTTAATTTGTCCAGAAGGTATTGTTTAACTTTTCCCAAAACTTACTGGTGGACACTTCTTTGTCCACCTTGCATGCTGTGTTTGCTGCCCATTTGGCTCAGCGAAAGCTTTCGTCGCAGACTTCTCACGCCTTGCACTTTGAGCATCGCTCTGTGATTTGACTCCTCTTGCGCCATGTCCCAAGAGCACACAGAGCACCTAAGCTTGATGAAGTTCCAAACAGCTGCTAGCTACGCCAAACAGCAGATACAGGCACCGATTCCCTTGCGTCCTTGGCTTGGGGTTCCACTCCCTTGTGTTGCTTCCCACGTGGTGATATGTACATGATGCCCTTTTCGTTGGATGCTTCCCTCAGCCACAAAGACAAGGTTTAGTGATAGATGTTTGAAGATCCCCTGATTACTGTTAATTACATGCCGCAGAGCAGGGGTTGTGGGGTTATGTTTGTTGACCGCTTTGATAGTTATCTCCAAGTTGATAGAATACATTAGAATACACTCGTTTCCTGTTGCAACCTAGTAGCTGTGCTATCTAAGACGCCAGTTTTGAGGGTGGCTTCCCAAGTTGCCCCGACACTCTGAAAGAGCTTGTGTGTGTCATCAAACTTGGAACAAGAGAATTGCAGAACTCATAGAACTTCAGGTGTTTCTGTTTTTTTTTTCCGTTCTTGATCATCTCGATGCAAATGAGTCGATCTCAAGGGCATCGCAGCGCTCGAGAAAACGCCCACGCTAAAGTTCCGGTCTTCCAAACCTCTTCAGGTGCCCCTCACCATTCCCTATAAGCGTCCTTTGGTCAACAACAATCCATATGGTGGAATGGCTCCCTTGACCATTGACTCATTGACCCTTAAATTAGTATGTTAAAACCACTCTAATTAATGCAGGCCAATATTCCAAATTCCATCGTTTATGCGCTTCTAGCAAGCAGCTTTTTACCGGCCTATCACCGGTGCCCAACAAAGGTAAAGCGACACGTTTGACGGACTGTTTGACTCGGACTGGACTGTCTGACTCGTCGCAAGCGAACGACGAGGTACATTCAGAGCAAGGTGAATCCCATCCTCGAGAACTTGGTGACCGAGGTCCTTCTGGAGCGTCCCGACAACCCAGCGCCTCGCTGGCACAGATGGGAGGAGACCCCCCGATTTGGTGGGTCAAGATGGAGCCAAAAAGGCTGGGGAAGTCGGGTTTGCTTGTTTAAACGTTGTTCTTTTTTGTGCATATATGACAGGGCAGGCGCTAGACTAGTGGGTGTTGCAGTTCCATCCCAGCTGACAAGAAAGCTCAGAGTTTGCCTCATAGAGAATCAAGAGGACTGATGACTTTGCCCAGCGGGCACCGAGTCTCTCCTTGAAACATGGATTGAAGATGCTGCCCATGTATTTGTTGCGTTGTCCCATCATCAAACCTGATCAATGAATCTTGTTGACATGGTTCGGCATAGTCAGGCCCAACATATTAACGACATTTAACGACAACGATCGTTACAACATCACCATGTAGAGCGATCACTGTCAACAGGAGCCATCCGCATCCGCATGGTCCGCTGGCTCGCCGCCCAGGTGCCTTTTATGGTCCGCTGGCTCGCCGAGCGATCCAAGACAGGCTCGTTGGATGTGGAGGGAGCACTGGAGCACCGCAGTGCCGCAATCCGGTTCACTGAAGCTTGCACAGAAATACAAGCAAGTAGCTATGGCTCGCAGCAATGGCTGTTCCAAGCGATTGAGGCAAAGAAACAATCCCACGCCATTGAGCCAGGTATGGAAGGTGTGGACATCTCCTGGTTTTCAGCAAGTTTTGTTCACATTTGAGAGGATCACCCCAGGAGAAACACCAGCGTTTTGGAGACAGGGAGCCAGCTAGGGAGACTCATGTGCCAAGTGCCAAGCATCAAGAAAGTTCAGTCGGCGTGTTCCACACCCAGTCGCCTTGTAATCTATGGCAGCTTTGGCCACAAGCTGACACCCCCACTTGACGCAAGGTCTTTCAAGAAACTGCGCAAACAAGAATCAAACCTCACCTACGCCAGAATCGCTCTCAACCCCAGTCGGCCCAGTTCCCACAGCTGGATTTTGACCACGTCACTGTGTGTCCGCGCTTTCAGCCCCCTCGGCTTGCAGGCAAGGAATCTCTCTACTCCTTGGGTGTGGGCGAGGCTGAGAAGCTCCGCAATGAGATCAAGGAGCTGCAGGAGCCCGGGACGGTCCTAGAATGTCCTAGACACGGCCAAAAAGAAGCGAAGACGAGATGGTTTTACGGCCGCAGTTGGATTGCTGCTCACATCAGCCGCTTTTGAGCACACCAGCTCAGCACACCTTCTCAACCCTTGGATCCTCAGACAGTGCCTGGCACCGTTCCTGCCTAGGACGAGATCAAGGTCCTGTCAGACAAGGTGGGAGAAGCGAAGGCCAAGGGTGCTGCCACTTGGATCGGAAGATTTTGTCGCACGAAAGGCACCGAAAAAGACTTAGGCGGTATACCGTATACCGTAGATTTCGTCCAAATAGACGTGGGTTGGAGATCTTTCTTGCTTTAATTAGTCGTTTTCTGGCACCTTTTTACCGGGTCGGGTGAGGAAGACCTCAACGGACATAGCCAGCCTGACCTGTGCCACACCCTGAGGAAACCACGCCTGAGGCGCCTGAGGCCGCTGTCTCGGGCGAAGCCACCGAGAAACCACCCCCGGCGCAGGAGGCACTGGTGTGGAGTTCAATGGGCGGGTAGCTTCCTGTTACTAGTAGTAAGAATGCTACCAACGTAGTAATGCGCTTTGTTACTAGTAGCTTCTTGTTACTAGTTTGTTTAATTGACTTGGTCCACAAGTGAAGTTAAAGGTGACTACCCCGGACTACCCCTAAGGCCCTGTGGTTCGGTCTGATATGACCCCCCCTCCAGACACTAACACGGACCGTGCAAATGACCCCGCTTTGCGCATTAATATATTCCTCTACAACGGAGGAGTCTGTAGAGTCAATAAGCATGAGGGTATACTTTCGGTGGGACGGTATCATCACCGTTCCAGCAATCCCGAAAAAACTCGAGCACCTCCAGGGGCGAACCCTTGAAATTTGCACATTGGCAAGTTGTTCATAATGGGTACTTTAGGTGGGTAGCATTTGGAAATGTAAGGTGGTCCAGTAGTCATCAGTAGTCTAGGTATAGTGACTATATGTGACTTGGACTTACCAAAAGAAGGTCAGAAGGCTCACAGACTCTGGTGCTCCATGGGTGCAAGTCTACATGACTCACCTTGTGACTGTCTAGGTCCCAAGCCCCTTGAGCCTGGACAAGTCCGCATGTGGTCTGGGGTTCCCACTGGGCCCTGCTGTGGGGTTCCCACTGCCCACAAAATGTGCGCAGAAGGCCGAGGCTGCAGAGGAGGCCGAGGCTGAAGAAGCCCAGGAGGAGAAGGAAGAGAAAGAGGAGAAGGAAGAGGAGGCAGCAAAGTGAAGGGATTACTGTATTGAGGGACGGGACATGTCCATTTTTGCCTTATGATCCTGACAGATGGAGCATCATCCAATTTCATGGAACTCGCCCTACTCATGAGGGGTTAGGAATATGCAAGGCTGAACAAACTTAGCGACTGTTCTCTTGTTGTTTTCTTTCCCTGGCCCCGGCAACGATTGACCTAATTCTGCTGCTTGCTTTATAGACAACATTGCTTACACCGCACAATGCCCGTTTCCTGAAGAATTGTTGGATTTTGGCTGTTGTTGTGTGTGTGTGCGTGCGTGCATCTTTTCCACCAACCCTTGTCGATATGTTACATGCCGGAATCATTGTTGCATTTACTTTGTCCGAATTCGATTGAGCAACCATTTTTGTCCGGCTAGGACAGCGATGAAGACGAGGACGACTTTGGAGATGAAGACGATGATTGGAAGCCACCAACCGCCTATATGAAGAAGGGACAGCGAGGCGCCACCACGCAAAAAAACAATGTTTGAAAGACGTGGCGATGACGGCTCACAGCGGGTTGGAAGGTTGGAGGAGGCTTGGAGAAAGGCAACACATCTTGGCAAGACTCATGGATTTTTTTGTCAAGTATTTTGAGGCGTCAGGGAGGATGCGCGGAAAGATACTGACCCGAAGGGCAAGGAAGAGAGCATCTCTTAGGTAGCAATCGAGTAAAGTCTTGACGATTTGCGGAAGTCTTAAGTCGGGACAGTAAGCCCAGTGGATGCGAACACACCCTGGCCCGTCAATCGCACCCCTGTCTTGAGCTATACATTCCTTACATCCTCTTACATCCCGAGCTACAAGCCTGAGGGGATAAGTCATTCAAGAATATCTTATTGAATGCAACACCTTATATGTATATATGCACGTCCTACACCCGAGAACACCCACGAAAGACCCTGACCCACACGTTTGGCCATGCCATGTTTGGCCTGGCCATGTCGGATGGCTCATCCGCCATGGCGTTTCGGAGCCCACCCGGTCGCTGCCAGGCTCGGTCTCCGCAGAGGCCTACGGCGCCTTCAACGAGAAGAAGGCCTTTGAGCCACCGGTCTATGAGAAGAGCACAGAGCAGGCGCAACGATGAAACGGCCAAGAGAAAACACCGTAGACTGCACTAGAGGGAGAAACATTTTTTTTTAAACGCAGGTAAGGTTTTTATTCGCTGAGCTTGCTAAGAATGTGAGCAACATGCAGTTGTTATCTCACATTTTATATCTCCCGGCAGAAGGTTTGCGGCAACTAGAAAGAGCCTCAGGTTTCACATACGGCGTACATGAAACATGACCGGCCTATGGATCCATTGCCACCCTTGGAGAGGGTGATTGGAGACACTGGGATTGTAGGCGCCAGGAGGCTTCAAGTACTTTTTGAGATACTTTTGGAGGCTTCAAGATACCGCACAATCCCAGTACTTCCACATACAGACAAGGGATCCCTTGAAAGGGGCAGAAACTTGGCATGTCTTGGGCTGGGAATTCGACGATGGGGCCCCGATGGGGCCCTGGGGCCGAAAAGAAAGAACAGCAAATTGAACTGTGATTTGATTGACTAAGCCAGGCAGTTGTTTGTAGTTGGTTGTTGCAAATAAATAACGGAGTATACTATATACCTATTATACATATACTCGCTATGCCTTGCTCCATGAATCACGTGAAGAACTAGATATCGCTTTTGATGGTCATGACCCCGGAGCCCTGCAACATGTTTGGTGCGATGTTTGGTGCGAGAAACCCGATTCGGAAGTCGAACGGAGAATGCGGATGTTTCAATCTTAGCCACACAATGATTTATACCCTTGAGGAGATGGCAACTTTGTTTCAGAAGGTAGAATGTTTCAATCTTTGGGCTTTGAACACATCCTACTTACCTACTTCAGAGTGAAAGCTATAGGCAGCAGAAGCGCATTGTTGACAGGAGTCCCGCATCAAAGATGTCCTGTCCAAGAGCTTCTTGTTCAATGCCCTCAGCACCTGTGTTCATGGAGAGGGCTGTTTTTGGAGCGTGGGTGATGCGGGTTTTGCCCCTTAGTGACGGCAAGTTCGGGTAAAGTGTCAAGAAATATTGTAGTATCTAAGACTTCCTCATGACCACCTGGCCAGGGAAACTTTGTGAGGAGCTACCAGAAGGTGCTTTCCACAAAACCAAACGGAAGCTCCTGAAACTGGAGTTGTCCCGCAATGTCCACACAACACAAGAAATGACATGCACTTGGGGCAAGAGGAAGTCCTCCACTTTGGTACTTTTTGGACTTCCTGTTTGTGCCGATGTGGGTCCATCCAGAGCCGATGGACGAATCGGCGATTCGGCTTGCAACATGGAGCTGTCCCCAACCTTGGCGCAAACTCCGAAGTTTGGTAGGTCGTTGGGACGTAAAATGTGAGGGTATATATATATATATATGAATCACATATCAGGATCATCCAATGGGTGTCCAATAGACTACCCTACTTATAGGTCTCCAGACGGGGCACCCATTGGAAGTGCTAGGTATGAATCGCTAACGCTTCGCAGCGCGGAGACCGTCACTTGTTTTCAGCAGAGGTGACCGGGGCACCTGATACGTCCAGCCATGGCGGCCCATCCGGCGGGCGAGAGGTAGAATCAAATGCTTCAGTGTGCATGGCTTGTCCATGGCTCTTCAGCCTCATGTTCTTTGTCACGCTTGCCCAATGACCAACAAGCCTATATATATATATATACAAGCCTTATATGGTGAATATACCATTGTATACTAGGCTAGTCCAACTGCAAGTCAACTTGCAATAGGTTTCCAATGCTCCACCTTTGCTTCTCATTACTGCTTTTTTGGTCAATCTTGTCGTTTGCTTTGCCTTGCGATGTCAACCATCGTTTTTCGTCCGATGACTGTTCCAAGGCAAAGACGACTTGAAGGTGATTCTGGATGCCTTCTTAGAGAAGAAGATCCCCGCCGGTGAACGCATCATCCAGGAGGGTGACGACGGCCACTCAGAACGACGAACAGATACTCCAGAGAATGGGATGGGTCCGATGGAAATCCTGAAGCAGAGGTACAAATATAGCGAGCGAGCTTCACCGACCGACGCCAGACAAACATGGACCTAGTCTCCGTCGGGGCTGACCCATTAAGACCCAAATCGATCCATCCAGCTGGAACACGAGGCATTTCTCTCGGCATCTCTTTCGGCTCTTTGTGGATCAACGGGGGGTCCACGTCCGGGGTCCACGGAACAGGCCGTTTTTCCTGACCAACGGAGTTCGGCATGGTTTGTTCGCCCGCCAAGAATCACCCACCGACCGTGACCGCTCAGGTGATGTGATGTTCCTCATTGAGTCTGGTGCCTTTGATTGCCCCTCCGTTCGCAGAAGTGGATGGGAGCAGCGGCCATGGGCTGGGTTTTGGGTGTGGTGGAATTCTGCATTTGGTGTGTGCCGGGCAGCACAGCAGGCACACAGTAATGGACCCGTTCTGTAAAGACGCGGACATTCCTCGTTTGCATGTGCCGTATTTTCAGAGTAGATGGCACAACCTCCTAGTTAGTTCAATGCCGTTTAAAATTGAGTGGAGTCGTTTGCAATTGCTATGCATTGTATTGATATTGAGCATCACCACTGTTGCAGAGAGGGGCTAGGATCCATTTGTCGGCTTCATGTGGGCATGCTCTGCGGACAGACGTCCCTTTAGAGTCACACCATGCCACACACACACACACACTCACGCTCACTTTGCGGCAGTCCTCGAGGAAATGTCCTCCACAGCAGAACCACAGAAGACATGGTGTATAATGTTTTAAGTAGTGCCATTACTTGCTTACATGCGATATATAATGGTTATATACCTATAAGTGTAACATACCTATTGACACATCATCCCACTAGAAGTATGGGGGCTTCTCCGAGTATTGAAGGCAAAAATGATATTCCTTGTGATGCCAGCATGCCAGCATGTCAAAGACAATATCCACTTCCCATTACAGCGATAGCCCATGCTAGTCATATCCAGTTGGCCAAACAACATGGGCAGCTTCCATTCAACACATTAGCTTCAGTTCGGAAGCTGGGTAACGTGTCCGCCTTTGGCACACCTGGCTGGCATGCCTGGCACACTTGCGGCACACCGCCGTTGCTGCAACATACTCCCCTGCAGATTAACATGGACCCCAAAACCACTGGGTTGTAGAGGAACATGGTCTTCCACAGGTCAATTCTCAGGTTCTATGTTAGTTTGCGGGGGGGGGGGGTATACATGTATATAGCAGATCTTTTCCTTGTGCCTTTCCCGTACTCCCGTACTCACCATCAGCATCCTGCATCCACCAGTGCCTTGCGCCGATCGGTGGTTTTTTGAGGCATCAAGAAGATTGACGGTTCGGACAAGGTGGTGAAAAAGTGTGGACAAGGCTTGGGCATAGCAACTCTTAGTCTTTTCTGTGGAGCATGAGGTCTTACTGTTTTCGGAACAAGTTCTTTTCAATCACTTGCTGTAATGTTACTCTTGTCACCAGCTGAGATGCACATAGCCAGTTAGTTCCTACTCCAAAGTGTTTTTCAATGGGTGTTTTCTTCATGTTCATGTCTTTTTCCTACCGTCCAACGTTCACCCAGCATCCACCACGCCATTTTTATTCTGCGAGAAGCACTTTCACAGCGTCCCTCAAGGGCGGCGTCCCGCGGCGAAGCCGCCGCGGTTTCGCCTGTAGGCGATGTCTTTGGCGAGTTGGCGCTGCTGTACAACTGCCCACGCGCCGCCTCAGTCGAGGCCGACCGGGCTGTTGCGGTGTCCCGGTGTAACCGGGGACGGGACGGTTAGTAATTAGGAAGCTGAACATGTCCAACAAAAAAGGAGACTTTGTTCTTGGAGTTTTTGGAGAAGGGTGGTGTAGACATCTTGAAGTGCAGCGCAGTGTTCAGAAAGGCTTGGTGAAATGATTGGGCCCCCCCCACAGTTGCAAGATTGTGCGAGCTAATTATTGATGCTTCTATTCAAACATTGACTTGAAATCTGATGAACTCCGCGCCCAGAAGCCGCAGGCCACGGAGGAAGCCGTGGTGTGGCAGCTGGACCGTGAGACCTTCTCGCACATCGTACGCGACGCGAGCGCCAAGCGCCGCGAAGCCTTTCAAGACTTCCTGACACTTGGACAAGTGGTGGTGATGGTGGGTTCGGTTGGTTTCATGGTTGAGTCAGATCCAAGCACCCCTTTCGGAGCCTTTTTGGATCGGTGGACGGGTGGGTTGGTTGGTTTGGGTGGTTGGGTGGGTCAGTGGGCGAAACAAGTTGTCAGATGTGCCACTTGTTGAAAGAACTCCTCAAGTCGTTTGACCTATACATTTGATGTCGAATGTCCATGGCATTCACAGTTGATCAAGATGAAAAGACCGGAAATGGAACTCAGGGACTTTTGAGTTGGCAGGTCACGGTCCCAGGTCTCTTTCGGACATGTTAACACTTTGCCGAGTGGAGTGTTGCGACCCACTGAGTCGCTGAGGAAGACTGTGCCTTTGTTCAAGACTTTGGAGAGCTATGACTTGATGTGGCTTGGCTTGTCTTCGAAGCGGAGCGAGCAGATCAAAGCATGATGAAGATAAGGAAGGTGTTTGGTAAACGTGTTTGTGTCCCTGAAAATCCTGTGAGGTCAAAGACTACAGTACTGCACTTGATTAAAAATCCTTTTGAATCGTTCACAAAGTCCCTTTAATGTTAGTGCGTTCTTCTCGGGACCAGAAGAGAGGCCGCAGGTCCTGGTTTTTTTCACCCACTTTCGACCGGACCGGCCACACCTTTCAACCGAAGCCCGAAGACCTCAGGCAATTGGCCGATTGCTTGCAGCAGGAGGGCCTGGAAGCTGGACAGTGGCTGCGGCGGAAGGGTTGGACGTGGGGTTCGCCTCGAAGAAGGATAGATGCGCAGGATGGCAGGCCGTGGGAAACATGGTGTGACACGCCTTTCAGATAACAAGTGAAACCGGCTGGTGCCAAGAATCCTGTCCTTTCACCGGTTCCCTCGGCTAAATGCCTTAAGAAGGCGGCGCATCCGGTGAATGTCAATGACCAGAACATACTGGACATGATCACGTGGTCCTTGGTATTCCAGTGGACCATCTGAGATGGAGTCCCTATAAGGTTCATGACTGATCCATGCAGCCCTAGATTGGGGTGAGCTAAAGCTTTGAAAGCATGCGATTATTTTGAGGATGTGGCCGGCTGCTTGCAGGTCATGGGGCTGGTTGTGCATTTCAGTATCGTTTCAGTCGTGCAATTTGCTTGGCAAGAGGCAACCACGGGAACTTCTTACCTATGGAGATGTTACAACTTGTTGTGTGTTTGTTTTATTTTCGCATTTGTTGTTTTTGGTTTTGATTGGTTTGGACAGGTTCTGAAGGAAGATCATAATATTTGCGAAATTGCGGTGTATTCATCTATCATCAAACTCTTTGGGCTGACGGTGCCAGTCGTGTTGTCTCATAAAACACCCCCTCCTTTGCAGAGGCACTGAACTCGATTATGTTGTCAACCGGGAACAATCACAGGAGCTAAACCCACTTGGAAATCATCACCTGGCCAGCCTGGGCGCTGACCGTTCTGGATCTTGCACCAAACACGCCCCGGCTAGTTTCTGCCAGACCCTGAAGCGGACACACCTCACACCCCGCCACCGCTTTCTCCAATCTTGCCTCATGCACCAAGGAAGATTATCAACCAGGGCGACCCAGGAGACACCTTCTACATTGTGCCCTGAAGTTGCAAGAGAGGATGGCCCATGAGGAGAGATGAAATGGGGCGCATGGGGCCTGGAGGCGGTCATGGAAGGACCACCTCGGGGCTATGGGGCCGGAATCCAGCATTCTCGGGGGGTGGGGGTTGTGAACTGGATGTCCATTGCTTGCGTCCTGCCCCAGGTTTCTCCCTTCTGTGTGGAGAAACGGAGTCTTCCTAATGTCATTTCGCAGGAGATTGCGGGTAGTTTGCCTCAAAAGGTAAAAAAGAACACATGAAGCGCAAGTTTAAGAGGTTAATGTTCTGCAGCCATGACAGCCTATTGCTTTCCCATGCTCCTTCCAAAGCAACGCACCAGCCAGACTCCCACCGAGGTGGAGGAGGGCGAACTCGTGGCCACCAAGAAGCGTGCGGATGGCAGCAACGAGGCAGGGATCCCAGGTCCGGTGGTCCCTACAGATCCCAAGAAGGTGGTCCCAGATGCCTCCACGAGGTTTTGTTCTTCTACAATCTCCTTCGAAGGTTCTACGGTATCAGCCTTCTTTTGTTCGGTGGTTGATGGATCATTTATGGATATTTATGGTGCTTTGGCCGACCGGAGCGGTTTCGAAATACGACCCGACCCGACCCCTCCACCGACCCATTTCAGGAGGTCTTGGACTACAAGCGCGGGGACTTCTTTGGCGAGCTGGCGCTCATCAAGAACGAGCCCCGTGCCGCCACGGTGCGGCACCGGGCCGGGCGTGTCCATGGCATCGATCCGCATCCGATCCGCGTCCGGGATTGAAACGGAGTCATTGGGAAGAAGGAAGCATTTGTAGGTGGAGTAGGGTGGAGTAAGTATAAGGATGCTCAATAATACTTGTTTCTGTTTGTCGCAAGCATTTGAACGCCGGCGCAGGTGGAGGCCAAGACCGCGTCCAAGATTTGCAGCTTGACGTTGGTGGAGGTGAATGGTGCACTCGGGTGGATTGATTTGCTCTTCAAAAACCATTTGCAGGTGGGGTGAGGGACATAGTTGAGCCCTTCACTTGAACCTGGATCATTAGACTGGCTTAGTTTCAATAATAGTCTTCATCTGAGAATCTCTATGTGTCTGTGTGTCTAAACCTGGGGGTCTTTCCAGAGACATTGGACACTTTGCTATAGACACGAAACGCTCTAGCGGCTGGCGTCGCACGTTCTACACATTCTGTCGTGGGCATTTCTTGATCGTCTCACATCGCAGAGTTCTACAGGAGGTGTTGGCTGGGTGAATTCCTCAGATCTTCCCCAGCAGGAAGATCAGTTCTCAGATCCCAAAGACGAGTGACTCCAATGATCACAACGATGGACGACTCAATCACTCGGATGATCACTGTATGTGTGTTGTGTTTTGTTCGATGTTTTTCTTGTTTGGGGGACGGCACCGCCGAGGTGGTTTCAAACTCGGACGAAGAACTCGGAACACTGGAATATATCCAATGATATTCCCATGGTTCCTTTGATGAAGTGGAGACTGATTGCCATGTGCCCATCCCATCAAAGGCATGGTGATCCAGCGGGCGCCGCTTGTTCGGTCGGAAAAAGGGCGCCGATGTTTGTGCCCAGACCCCCCAGCCTTAAATGCTCCGACCGCACAACTGATGTGAATCGGTGCGCTGTCAAAATGAATGAACTCAAGATATTATTCCAGGCTCACCCACTTTTCAACGTTTAGTTTGTTTAAGACTGTGTTCTTTGTGGCCAAGGCTGAGGCAAAGTGGTACTTCTATCCAAGTTGGAAGTTGGGGCATTCCCTCAGCCGGCTTCGTGGCTTCGGCCGTTTGTGAGGCAAGATCGACCGTAAATCCTTCAAGCCACCTGTCTGATATTAGGGTTCCTAAGGTTGCAGGTGGCAGGTCCACTTGAGAAGGTGGCAGGTCCACTTGATTGGTTGCAGGTGGCAGGTCCTTTGAGTCCCTGAAAGTTGAGAATGGGGTTTGTTTGTGAAGGTGTTCTTGCTTTTGGGGATGCCAGAGCACCATGCCGGATCAAGGTGACCCATTTCAGTGCCGGTGGACAAATGTGACGTTATGAAGGTCATTGGTCAAAGCCAGGTCCATCACACTGTTCAAGTAGACTGTTGGGGGGCAAAGCCGCCTAAAACCGTATCCATAGAGTTGTTTGTATCAAAACAAGCCTGTGGTGGTGTTCATAAGTATTTGCAGATGCACTACCGTACCGTGATTGCTATCAAGTTGAATGTGTTCGCACTATTGCACTGCTTGAAAAAGAGTCTGAAGTTGCCCTCCCAGGCCTCCCAAGCACCACTAGCGCAGTAAGCACTGGAATTCTATGTTTGTTCTAGATGCATTTCAGGAGCTGAAGAGGTGTTTTACTTTGAAGGCTTAACCGCTATAATGTTTATTGGACAACTTACCTTGCTTGATACAGCAGAGTACACCCACTTGCTATAGGTATCGGTATCATCCTTTTAGGGTCTTTCATCACATCCATCCCGACAGCCAGGAACATCTTGGGACAGCTGGAGCCCCAATTCAAGGAGGCTGCGGCCAAGTATAAGCCATGAGCTGCCTAACAGGGTTGACCTTGGCCAGCCCATATGGCCACAGCCGGCCACGGCTACCAATTCGAAATGTTTCGATCGCCGAAACATCAAATCCTTCCTGCAACGAATGGCTGGGTGGAAGCGACAGGGGGGCCCTTATTTTGAAGGGCGAGCCCCTGCTTCACAGACTACGCATCCATCAGTGCGCCATGGCAGTCAGGGCCAAAAAGATGGAGCAATGGCAACAAGACACACAATACATGCCACTTATCTTCATACTGCACTACTTAAATGTGTGTCATGGAACTTGCTGGTGTATGAACTTGAGCTTTCCACCCTGCTTCTCACTGACTGACTGTTTCTACCTACCTCCGCACCTGTGGATCCTTCCGGCTGGATTTCAATGTTCTAGCTGGATTCAACAGATGCAGAGTGTCCAGTCGACCTTCTCGAAGCAATGCCGGCAACCCAGCATCAAAAGAGCCCACACGAGCTGCATGGTCGAAGCTGCAAAGTTTCAAAAGTTGGCCGGGTAGCATCAACATGCAAGAGGCTTCTGACATTTGAAAAGGGGTTTATTCGTTTTACTTATGTTCTACCTAGTGACTCTGCCTCACCCAAGATGTGCTTATTATATAGATACACATGTCCCAAGACCTTTGAACAAAAGACATTTGTTTTACCTGTTTTTTCTGGATTCTCCTTCCTGGAGAGCCATATGGAACCTTTTGATCCTTCATTGGTGAAGCCCAACCTGCACGGTGCGCCCACCAGGTGGCCAAAGCCGCGCGGAGACACCAAGAAGCCGGCGAGCACAAGGCTGGTGGATCGACCAGAGTCGCCAATGATTCGATCATCATCATCATCATCATCCACTGTGTATATACCCCATAGGGTCCAGGTACCTGCTGAGGATGGTCTTGGAGGTGAAAGTACTTCCAGAGAATGGTCTTTGGGGCCAAAGGGCATCCTCAGGATGGTCCTTGACCCTTAGGCCACTGTATACATATAACTAATTATACTAATACATATATATTAATATAGTATGTGTGGATTCACTATGTGCATTATAAACATAATAGTCATATATTTTCTATTTTTTATGCACACACAAAAAAGGCGCAGGACGCAATCGAGTACTGGGTTGCTATGCTGTACATTTGGCGGCTTGTTCAAGTTGTTGCGTTTTTTCTCAACCAATTAGTGTTCATGATCAAACACAGTGTGGTGGAGTTTGCTCCCAGCGAATAATGAACAATTTCTTCCACACACTGGGTACGTTGCACTTGTATGCTTATTGGTTGTCAGCATGCTACGGCAGTACTTCTCCTGCATAGGTAGGGCATGACAGGTACGAGGATTGTTACAGCATGTTTTGTCAGGGCAATGGACCAATGGAGCAGAAAATGTTAGACAGACTGAGTAGCCCTGCATCTCGATGTATATGTTTGATGACCACGGTGTTGAGCTTTTCTTCAGGCTGAAGCCCAGCAATGCCTTGGGTTCACAAAGTTGAACCTTAGCTACCAAAGACACTTGTCCTATTGTTATTTTTAAGCAGAGCTGGTCTATAGAACAAATGTACAACAACGGACATCATGTAACTATATATGCCGGTCACAGGAAGTACTTCATATTTGTTTGTCGTCATATAGTTATATGATGTTATACATAACACAAATATTCCTTTTGCAATCTGCCTTCCATGATTTGATATGGCCCCGTTTATCAGCAGATGTGCATGTGCCCTACGCATGCATACATGCGGAGGTTGCATACATGCTGCTGACTCGTGGGCTTCGCCTTTTAGGCAGGAAGACTGCGCCGGCACGTTCTACCCCGCTTCCTGGTCGACAAGAGACTCCCCAGTCAGAATTAGACATCACGAGCATTGGCACGACCCCGCAGTCGACTGAGCCAAAGCGAGCCCAAGTGACAAAACGTTCGGGGACGCGAGCCCAAAGCGAGCCGCTGCGGATCCGCGGGAGGCGCCTTCGATAAGTCGTCCGACGGGGCTTCCAGCCCGGAGTCCAACAGCTTGCTGGAGCTCCGGCGGCGGCGTGCCAGCATTTTGCTAAAGAAGGCCTCAAACGGTGGTGGTCCCATGTGTGGTTGGTGAGTGTGGAGAGCGGGGATGATTCTGGGGTGACTGCAGCATTGTTGGTGCTTATGACAGTAACATACAGTAACCATGGCATATTGGTCATGCGCGAGGGCTCGAAATGACAGATTTGGTGGAGCTTTGTGCTGACTTTTGGTGTTATGAATATCACAGGAAGTTCTTGGTGTCCTTCGCTTAAACCAGTGATTCTGCAGAGGAAGTTCGTTTTCCCTGGGCCTCCACTACTTTGCAAGCCGGAATTCTTACTTTGTTCATTTGTATCCGCCCCACGAAACGGGCGATATGGACCAGCTAGATGTGTTTCATCCCTTTGACCGAGTGGGCCAGTGCTATGACTGGCACCAGCCCCAACACCTTCGGTTGGGCCGGCCCACTTGGCAAACTCCCCATGCTGCAGGGCTTCAACAAGGCCTGCGTGGAGGAGAATCGAGAATAGAGCGGCATGGCCCATGGCCGAAGAGCTGTGAATTGGATCCACGTGGATGTGAGTTCTGTTTTCCCTTTATTGTCATGAACAGTTTCCAAACCACAGAATGGAAGCCTGATGGACTTGTAAACCATGGGATTTGGCTGGTTTACTCTCCACTCTAGACTGTGGGCGTGTTATTGGAATGTATCGAATCCAGATAATCTTACCTGTGTTGGATGTCCTCTTAACCCTCACTGAGAGGGGCTTGTTGAAACCGCGCCAGACATCGAAGGAGTGTTCCTTGTTGGGTGCACCAGCCAGTGGCGGGCTGAGAGCACAAGCCTATGCCCAGATGGGAGACTGGAAAGCGGCGAAAAAGGCTATGGAGGACGGACTTGGATTGGTTTCTGGGCCGAGGCTTGCTCAGATATTTCATGATATTTGGGATCATGTGGTGTTGCACAGTTCCTTGCTGTTGGGACTTTATAGTGTCAACTCGGATGTGGATCAAGTGGCACTAATACCCAATTCATCGTGACCACGTACACCGCAGGAGCCCAGGGTGCTACAGTGGACCTGTGAGCACGTGGGCATGACCTTTCCAATGCTCGTGGACTTGGGTGCAAGGCGAGGAATGGAACACGCGGAGACGTAGTCCAAGAAGGTATTACGTAGCAAGGAGTGAAGGAAGGGAAGCAAGGCTGGGTTCCGTTCAAAAAAAACACAAAAAATCGACATGAATGTCGGTTGACATCATATTATAGTCACAGATAGTCACAGTATAACTATTTTGGTATGCATTTGTTGCACGTTTGTTCTTTTGTCACTCAATTAGGTGCTTCTGAAACCGGCAAGCCGCCCGTCCGGCTAGATGGGAGACGGATCCCGTCCTCGAAAGCGGGCCGGAGGGGCACAGAGCCGTTTGTTCACGAATCAGCTTGTGCTTCC